TTCTCCAACTTTGGTAGAACGCCGGGCGAAAACAGACTGTACCTACGAGAGTCAAACAGTACTCACGGCAACGAAAATCAGGCACCACTCAAAACGTCTGGTTAAGCAAATTCCACTAGACCTGACATCTAGCATTAACAAGGATGAAGCAGCCGAACTCCAACCCTCGGTACCTGTAGCTCAAATATCTCTTGTCGAGACTAAGCCTCCCAGAACATCAGTTACCTATGCAGAGATTGCTGCAAAGGTCCACCGAGAGGCCGCAACGGCGGCCTCTTCCATTGTAAACACCGTTAACGCGAATAGAGGGACAAACAGCAAACAATCAACACTTGTCAGCAGTTCAGGACAAACGAGTACCATACCTTGTAGATCAACGAAAAAGGGATCCAATAATAGTGCCCGGACTGTTGTATGCTCAAATGTCCCTGAATCTACCGCCATCACATTGCGGGATAAGTTATCAGACGACCAAGACCAATGGAACTCATTGTGCATGCAGATGAGTATCAAAGCCAAGCCCATAAACTTGTTACGAATTACTCGTCATCCGAACTCGCCACACTATGGCGAACCCAGACTTATTCGAGTAACACTAGAATCCTCCACCGACGTAGAAAACGTTTTGCTCTCCGCAAGCACGCTAAAACACGGATCCTGTGGGATACGTATCTATCCTGATGTCCCTTGGAGCGCGCGACAATCAAAAAGAAACACCGAAGAAGGGCACAGCAAGCAAGACCGCCTAAACGCAATCTTCATACATGGCGTGCCAGAACATCCTTCTAACGATGTTCAAGAGACCGGAAAGCACGATTTAGATCAGTGGCGGTTCATTCGTGAAACACTTTCTTTGGATAATATTGTGGCATTATCGCTCACCAGGATACACCTCTCATTAGAATCTTAAAACTTCTGGTTTAGTCAGAGCAACAAACAAAGGATGCACATTGAGGGACGAGAAACAACAGCCAAAAAGCAAGTGTAATTGCGTCTCAGTCGCAGACTGCGTCAGAGTGTGTCTATGATCAGCGTTTCCGGATCGGCCACCGGTTCGCACTGTAGATCATTGTGGTAGTATAACATTAACCCACCCCCGCTCTTCCTAGCGCGACCGTTTCGGAGAAGGGACATACCATGTATCGCGACCTCGGCGTCTGTAATTTCTGAATGCATCCAGGATTCCGTAACGAACAGGAGATCACAGGCATGTGAGGCTTGAGGTAGTCGCAGTTAAGACGTCTATAATCCAGACGCTACCGGAGATTACCTTTGTGCTTCTTCACCAGAACAATGGGTGAGGCCCACGGTAAGTGAAGGTTGGGACGATATTTCTCTCAAGCATTTCATGCATCATTTCCTGTACTTCGCTCTGCCAGTGAGATGGAATCCGCCTGGGTGGAGTCCTCACAGGTTTAGCATCGCCGGTATCGGATGCCTGCTTTACACTAGTAGTGCGCCCATTATTCTTTATCACCCATGCGAAAGCGTCTGTGTGTCTCTGTAAAATGTATTCCAAGTGCTGCAAAATTATCACTAGTCGACTTTAGTGGTTGCGGCAACTCATCTATCCACGAGATTCCTTCCGAAACCTCACGGACCGAGCATGCCTCAAGACCAAAGCATTCATGACAGTAAAGCGGACGGGTACAGGTATCCGTGATTACTTGTCATCTCACGAAGTCCAACTGACACCTGAGTCTACCTAGCAACTTCATCCGCATGATGACGGCGAAAGAGATGTGGTCAATAACGACAAACTTATATTGCAGTTTTTTATTACCGATGACGACTGGCATCCGTATGCAATCGCGTGTGACTAGTGTTTCCTCATTGACGGCGGTCAAACGGCATGTGCATGGTTTAGAGGTGTATCCAGTTAGCAGCTTAGATGCAGCAGCTTTTATAATGTTCTTGCATGCTCCAGTATCGACTAAGCTGTCATGCGCAAACCCGGAAACATCACTAACTATAGTAAGCGAAAAGATTTTCTTGACGTTGTTGGACAGAAGGTACTTTGAAAATAGCCTCATGTGATGACTTACCTGAAGGTTGAAAACGGCTTTCTTTGGACTGTCAATTGCGGACATCGTTTGGACCCGGTCTTCCCCATAATGGCTCACGTGATGTTTGTAAAGGACTTGACTGTAACTACCACCGGTGAACATTGTTTGGACGCCATCTTCCATATGAGGGCTCGTCCGATGGCTGAAATTGGTGAGGGTAAGTATCCCAACGGCGGACATTGTTTCGATGCGGACTAGCTTTTGACCTCAGCATGGAGATTAAATCACGTTGCTCTTGGCAAACCGGTCCAAGACAAGGCGTATAACCAAGTATTTCGTGCTTGTTAAGGCCAGAGCAGCTAAATACCTCATAGGTCGTGTTGGTGTTGCCCAAGGGCTCGGCAACACGTTCCAGCTCTTTGCCTTGTTGAACCGCAGTATCCAGCCAGTCACGGGATGTAGCATAAACTGCTTTCTTACACTACGTGTCTGGATTCCTTCCAGTAATTGTTGCAATACGCGTTGTTCGCGCTAGTCTGGGGTTTATTTCTGATAAGCACGGTCCGCTGATTGTCTTAACTCAAGGAGGAAGGTCCTGATCTTTTCTCCCGGAAGTTAGTATCGAGCGTGAAACTGTCGGCAGAGCTCCGAAAGCGGCTGGAGTGATCTAGTAAATGGTTAGAAGTACCAGAGGTTCGCACCGTAATTTCCTGTTCCAAAACGCCGCTATGTGCACCCATGTCAAAAGCCTCCCCTGCATCTAAACTCAGGGGGACGCTACCACGTTGCGAAGGGGGAAATTGCTGTACAAAATTTTAAGCTAACTTCGCCCACCTATTGTAGGACATGCCGATAATATTCGCGTGCCGGAAAAATCGGAGATTGCAACGCACTGGAAACATTATTCGCAGCTAATGTTGCTCTTCCATCGTCACATACATCATAATGTGCAAAAGTTGCTTTTGCTAGTTTTCGTGCATTCGGCATTTTCGATACTGGCAGGGTTGCCACTTTGTAGTAATGCACGCTAGGAGTTCAAGAGCGAAACAGAAATTTCCATTACGCAACACGTAGCCACTATAAAGGAGAAGCAAATATAAGTATAAAGAAAATGGAACGAATGTTACGGTTAACAATCTTTTCTGTCTTCATGCTCTCTTCAGACACAGTTCAAGCGTGCGGTGCTGAAAGGCAAACGGAAAAAACCGTTATAGCAAGGGTTCACGTTTAGTTTACGCGGTAATATTTTGATCGTTGTCTACAGCAGCACCCATTTACTATCCGTTCTATAACAATTAGTTCAGAAATGCAGCGTGAAACCCGCCATGAGTCAATGGACTTAAGCAGATGCTTTTTCCTAAAAGGCGAGTGTAACCAACTCTCGCCAAATGGTCTCCCCGAGGAGGTGTTCAGTAAGTCAACCCACAGTAGAGCTAGAGCTGTAGCATATCAGCGACCTATCGAGATCTCGTCAGCACATGGTTAAGCGAGAAAGCGGAAACTGAATCTCATCGCATCACTCCAACACCGATTTTCATGGTTTTCGTCATGGTTTTAGAGAGGATATGGGTTTGATGGATTTGTGCAGAACGAGTAAGCTTTGCTTTTCGGTGGTTCAGCCTCGAAGTCTTACGGCAGGGTCCTGTTGTTGTCGGTAGGTTCTAATTGTTGTAGATTGCGACTTGGTAGTGGTGTGGAGCACAAGGATCCAGCTTCTTGATGGTGGGGATGTGGCTATCTGGAAGAAATGGACTAGTGTGTAGGTAAACGGCCAATGTTGATAGTGTTATTACTGTACAAGCGAGGGCGTAGACGTGGCAGTACGGAGGCGTTAGAGTGTCAGAAAGGAAGATGGTTCGGTAACGTTAAATAAGAGCTAAATAAAAGGAGTGCCGCGAGCTAGTTTGTCAAAGGTGGTGACCCTACCAGCTAGTTTGGCGAATGGCCAAAGTCTCAAAATGAAAGGTCAGCGAGGCAAAGGCCAAGCATTTATGCGTTGTTTGAAGACCTCCGTATTATGTGCTGAGACAACAGTCTAAAGCACGGCATTCCAGACGAAGGCGATACGCACACTAAAGCTGGTTTTGCAGTACTGAAGCCAACGACTTCGAGTTAGGATTTTAAGCGAGTGCCATCTTAGATGGTCTGTGCGGGTGTGAACGAGTACGTCGATATGAGGGTGCCTGTTGTTAGTCAGGATAGAATGGGCTAGGAAAAGATCTCCCCGAATAGTACGATATCTCAGTAGAAAGAGTTTAAGGGCTTTAAGATGCTCTTCGTGGGATAGTCCCTCCACTCTCTTAGGGGCTCTGAGCTGTGCGGTTTCCAGCATAGTCTCTTCCTTCTTCAGGTACGGCGGCTGGACCAGTATATTGTACTTGGACAGCGGGCGTACCAAAGTGCTGTAGAGGCGAAGGAAGGTCTCTCTAGGGAATGACCCTAATGCACGGCCAAAGAGGGGCAGGCGCACGCTGGCCTTTCTGGCCAATGTGGCTACGTTAGCGCTCGGCTCCGGTCGGCGGATATAATAGTGCCTTGGTCTCGTTCCTGGGATGTGGCGTTAAGACGCACACTGCCGATAGTTTATGGAGTGAGCTAACTTTGTCCGATGTGCATGACCTTACACTTGACGGTGTTGAACGACAGCAAGTTTTCCGAGGTCCAGGAGTAGATAGCATTGATGTCTCTCTGAAGACGCGCCTGATCGTTTGGCTCGCGGATAGGTCGTCATCTCTTAGCATTGTCCGCACAAACAGTATTTGGCTGCTAACAGAAGTTGGTAGATCATTAATGAACAAAGTGAACAACGGCGGATTGAACATTAAGAGGAGGGAGCTAACCTCATTGCTATGAGAAGGTGTACACACTCAAACACATGCACGTATGGTATCCAAATAATGTAGTCAGAAATAAAGTTGGCGAGTTCCTTCATTTGCTCTGGTAGACATTGTGGATCAGCTTATTACGGGAAAACACCTGGTTAAATTATCGATCGGTAATTTGAAGCCACCGGACAAATGCAGCATGACGCGTGGTGAGTTGCAGGTGACTCCAACGCCCCGGATATCAGAGCCACAACACCCTCTCCAATGTTTGCCGAATTATAGTACAAGAATAGATTCCCCATCCACTGAAAGCCCGAGACCAAATCGAGCCCCTTCCTGGTGCATCGTTGACGAAACAGAACTATCTTTCGCATTTGACCCACCCACGGAAGTTGGGGAACCAAGACCACCCCACTCTCAGATCAGTCCTTTATACACTGGTGCTTGGTACAGTTATTCCAGTAACCCGGAAAGTCAAATTGCCACGGATACTTTGCTTTGGACCTCAACAATGCAGCAATCTGTCGCTTTGTCGTTGCAGAGGACCATAATGAGCCGTTTCAGTGAGTGCACAGAATGCACCGACAGCAGCATTGGACGAGAAGCTTTCAGTTTTTTACGGAATTCCAACGCCACCGAGGAGCCGTTGACCACATCTCTAGGAACACTCTACCGGCGGATCAGTCATCCGGATTACTCCCAGAGCAGTACGCACTGGACTAGTCTCACGTTCGACTTCGGTTTCGGCCCCGAGGCTCGTTTCCACATGAGAGTTCGAAAGGATATCCCACTCAGGTGAATGAAATTAAAGATTGAAATATATATATATGAATGGCTTAGCGTGCAGGCAAAACCATTAGCATAGAGACTCCAGCGAAACACATAATGAGGCTTATCATGACCATCCGAATGTGGGTATATTTTGATGGGAAATCCATACTTGTGCAGTGGGATAGCACTAGTATAACCAAATCTGTGCAGAAGGGCAATGTAGCTTTCTCAACCAAGGCCCTTTGACTCAAAGAAAACCGAACTATGACGTCAATCCGGTCTCGCAGAAATGTGTGCTACCTTATTTCCAACCTGTCCAGCGGAACTAGCTGTCAAGGTACCAAAAGGTGGGTCTGAAAGACGTATACTATCGAGTCAGGTCAAGATTTTCCTCATCTCATCCAAATGGTTTGCTTTTTCTATCCTCAATCTTCAACAGATTTTTATGGGTTGGGAACATAAGAGATGGGGGAATCGGGTTGAATTCGCCTCGTTGCCCGTCTGGTGTGGTGAGTCTGAAGCACATGGTAGGGTATAGCGTGCCTGTTCATAGATCACGTGACGTCAAGCGATTACCCCAAGCGCTGATCCATAAGGTGAATCCAGACATCTAGATGCGGATAAGCCATACTAGCTACGCTAGTTTGGCCACTACGGCATTAGAATGGACTGTTTATCAGAATCAGAATTATACTCGAGACCGGTTAAGTGCTGACCAGAGCGGTGCACTAGCTCTCGTGTGCACCGACCGCTACCGAAGTTCTGACAGCACAAAAATGCTGTTTTTCAGTTTATTTCTGGTGTCTTCAAAGTAAACTGAACAACTGAATGAGGCCCACATCACGCACACGGCGATAAGTAACTGGCACGAAGTATGCAATGGAACAACAGGTCCAGAAAAGTGTCACGTTAAGTTGGCTTCCCGCGGTTTCTGACAAATGGGGCTGGTACATTGTTATACACACCGTAGTTTAATGACTAAAGCGATTACATGTTATTGGAAAGGACCGAGAAGCAACCAATGCATCGCGTTGTCTAACGATCTCACCTTCCGGTTCCCGAAACCATCAGCTCCTGGTGTCGGTCGAGATCAGGAGGCACATAACCTACCCCTAGTATCGAGAAGCCGTGAAGAGTAAGACAGCCTATTTTAAATGCATCATTCGCAGATAAATCAAAAGTGATTTAAGAGCCTGATAGAATGATTTTGGATACCATTGTGGCGAAGCAAACTGTTTCCTGGCTGCAGACTATCGTTTAGCGTACCTGATTCGGTTGGTATTTGGTAGACTCTGTCCTCGCGGTCTACATAGGCTAAGCTTTTTCGACGGTTGTGCTTATCCTAACAAAGGTTTAGGCCTGAGATCTTGACCATCTTATTAATCTAAAGTAATCTAACCTAAGGTGTGTAGGTTTGAGTCGATTCATTTCAGTAATACCAAGAGGTCTACAGCTTTGCAAACGTGCTTGGTACAAATTTCGGTCTAGGCAGCCCCATATCATCACAACAATGATAGGATAATTGTGGTACCAACAATGAGTAACTATTCCAGTTGTGTAAGAAAATGTGACCACAATAGAATAGCGATGATCACGCTGTTCAAGGAGTACTGCATTTGTGGACTGCGGTTTTACCTCAGTAAATTTTGGCTATACAATCTAACGTGCTGATATTGACTGAACAAGCGTCAGGTAGAATACGGAATTGCACTTGCTGTACATGTTCAACATGCAGCTGATGAAATGGTTCTGATAAAGTACCACTTAAATGTAACTTTGGAGAACTTCTGGAATGCTGTACTCTGATTGGGTAGGGTGCACCTGTTGACTTGCGCCTGTGTGTTCGCAACTGACCGGCAGCGCGATTATTATTCTTGCTCAGTTTCGAATGATATCTGTTAATACCGCGCCTCCGTGGATAAAGCTGATTCACCAGTTCAGAGCGTTTGCTTTCCATAGTGGACCAAGTAGACTATAAGTGATAAGCAATAAAGGAACTAAAGGTCATTTTAAAAATCTCTGAATGAAAATGGTATACAAACCAGCGCCAGTAGCTGTGTTAATCATTGTTTTACTACAGTTGGATGAGTCCATCCAATAGATAACGAATCAGAATAGTTTTCAGTGAATTCTTGTGTTTGTTTATTGATTGGACTGGGCACACTGAGACCGTGGAAATTGTGACAGGACCTTGCGTTCCAGTAAGCTCAAAGTAAAGCGAATAATTGAGTAAAAAAGCAGAATGCAGTGAACCAGCTGGGGAAAGACAGTAACTGAATGACTTTTATTTATGTACCCTATCGATGTGCCGGTTTCCAGTTGCATTAGGTGGAAATCAGGCTTGCCAAGTGCGGTGAGATGAGGGTTACCTCGGAACATGGATGTGTCCAAAATCATCCAGTTGCTCAACCAACTAATGGTTCCACCACTTCCATCTCTTTCACCAATGGTGGGACTTGGGGGTTAGTGAAAAGCGAGTGAGGGGGGCATTAGTGAGCGAAGCTGCTATGCGGAAATCCAATTATTTTGTCTGTAAATGTACTTATAGTTTTAGCTGCACACAATACCTCATCGAAACAGTGAAAATGAACTGTGTTAACAACTAAAAACTGCTATGGAGAGAAGTGACCTAAAAATCAGAATTAGATGGATTAAGCTGTTTTCGCTTGCCTTGGCTTGTTTCATCAATTACTACCTTATGTGGACACACAGTTATAAGGCCTTGTATGAGACGAATCAATGGAACTATGGTTTATTAAAGTAGAAATCCAAAGCGTAGCAATTACCGTAGGATGGTCGTGATGCATTTCGTAAAATATGAGGGGGGTGCCAAAAACATAAGTTCACACCGTTGAAATCAGTGGAACAATGGCTTTATCACGGCCATAAAAGCAAACGCTTCGCCGTTGTTTGAGATAAACATTTGATGCGTCGTGGACTTGCTGTAAATTGTAATTGTACACCTTGGTTGGTTTGTCGCGTGACCCAGTATCTTGGTTTAAATGATGTAATGCAAGTGGTGTGATGCATCCTCAAGTCGAGTTTTGTATTCGGACAACGTAGGAGCGGATAGGACGAAATGCGAAAGTATGTTCCACGGCGGGGATACAGGAAAGGAAAAATGCTCCCGCGGTATTCTAAACAGCTCTACTGTGTCACCAACTTCAAATGGTGGCCTTTCAATGAGATATTGTGTCAGTTTCAGTAAGAGTCGACATGGGTGGTTAGAATCCTTGAGGGTTTGATACACAAACATGTGATCACCCCGCAGAAGACGATATTGTTCACTAAAAGCTCCTAGAGTCTTCAATCTCAAATGATAACTAAGGTGGAGCAATTCCTTAACATTTTTGTCGCCCTCCCTTTTGGCTTCTCAAGTATAGGGTTGTCATGTGTTTGCTCAAAATGACTTGATGCACTGGTTTGTTTGGGTGCCATACCTGAATGGCGTTTCAAAGTGTGGTCGCACATAAGCATTGAGCATTTGGGTCAAACCGACCAAACACTCTCTGCATTAGGCCCAAGTGTTAACTGGCATTTTCACTGCCATCGTGACTTGCATTGAGCACCTGAGATCGTCCTGCACGATCACCCCCGAGATCGCTTCCATGAAAAGCACAGTGCAGGACTCATTCTTACAGTCGACATCGGTAGGTTCTTTTGTGGCGTGTGCTTATTATTTCGCACGTAGCAGAGTTACACTCAAGCATGTTCTAAGTCGAATATTTGTAAGCCCTATCGAGATCACCTTGCAAGGCTATTTGGACGTCTGCTAGTTTAATTACTTTCCAAATCTTGAGGTTATCCGCAAATACTAGAATTTACGAGATCAAAATTTCGCAAGGTCTTTTATAGATACGAGGAATAACTTAGCTCTTAGTACCGAACCTTGAGCGACGTCAAAATGAACCTCTATCGGGTCGGACAGGGTGCTACAAACCCGCAGATTCAAACGTCGTTGTAGTAGGTATGAATGAATCCATCTTAGGATAGGGTCAATGATTCCGTTGTTCGGAAGCTTTTGGATAAGAATTCGGTGATCAAGGCGATCAAATGCCTTAGAAAAATCAAGGTAAGCGGAGTGGACTCTTTCTCCAGCATCGACTGATTGCGTCCAGCTATCACGGGCTAACAAAACTTTCGTGGTATATGAGCGGTTTTGGTGGAATCCATGCTAATCCTGCAAGATGATATTGCACCTTTATAAATATATCACGGATGCATCTGAAACTACAGATTCTATAAATGCAGCAAGCACATGAAGTATGGCAATACGGCAGTAGTTTGCTGGTCCTACCCGATTGCTTCCTTCGTAAATGGGGGTAAGTATTTCACGCTTCCATATTGTTGGAAGCTGCATCTCGTCCAGGCAGCGGTGTCAAAACTGAAGATATGAATCAGCCAAATTCATGGCAGCTACCACCAATGACTTGAGATATATGCTAAACGCACCAGGTGTATTGCACTCGCGTAGTGACAGCAGCCGTTTCGGCAGATCCGCGGTTGTGAAGGAGATATAACTGTCGTCGTGGTGAGGTGATATTTGTGAGAATGATAAGAGAGGGCGATGTGTTCTGGAGAGTACAATCGAACTGGTGTCTAAGAGCATTAGCTGATTCTTGGGCAGTTCGCGCTTGGCTACTGACCGTGTTTGCATGAGGGATGCCACGCTGTACTTTGCGAAGTAGCCTAGGATTGCGGCGGAAATCCTTCGCCAAAACTAGTTGGTGTTTTAACTTATCTTCGCGGATCAGTTGGAAACAGTGGTTTCAATCAGTTAGGTAATCATGCCAATTCCCGACGTTCGGATCGAATTTGTATGCTTTCCAATGTGAATTTCTCAGGGTCATTTGTTTCCGCATCCTACTTCTCAGGATGGACTTTGCGTTTTTGTGCTAAAAGCTTTAGTCTCTGATACATTTGTTGCTAGTGTTGCACTGATCGAGGAACATTCCGCCAAGTGACATCAAGGGGACGTTCCGCTAAAAACGATCCATTAATGATTTTGATGAGTTAGGATAAAG